CCCTGACTGCTACTTGCTGCCCCTGCATGCCTCTGCAAGCACCTGGAGCGTTGGGTGGGGGGGGGCATTCTCCCCAGGGGCAGCCCTTCAGGGCTCTTGCAGTACTCCTGCCACAGGAAGGCAATGTCCCCCTCGCCAATTCAATGATTAGTTGGAAGGGAAAATGGGGGAGGGATAGTCCCATGCAGGGGTCCCAGAGAGCCTGCCCAAAGGGGGGTCAGAGAGGAAGGGAGGGAGAGACGAGGACTGTGGGTGCCCTCCACATCTCAAGAGAACCGGGCGTCCATTCAGTTTAGATCGGGAGGAGGGAGATATCCTTGGAGGTAACAGGTTTAACTGCTTGTGGAGGAGCCAGTTTTCTTCTGCAAGAAAGGCCTCGAATGGCATCTCTCCCAGTACAAATGTGGCACCTCTTCATGGCCTGAGTTTCTGGGGGTACAATTTTTTCACTATTGTTAACATTATACACTGTCCTTCAGTAAGTTTTGGGGTCTTGCAAGACTGCGTTGTGACACCACAGAACATAATCTGAACCTAGATGGCGATACTAGGCTGAATGCAGTGCTTGTTTAACAGAAACTAAAAACACGCTTTATATTTTAGGATGTAGACTTTGAAGCAGGAGCTGGCTTTTCCTCGGTGTGTAGGGGATTTTAAGTAGTGAAACCCTGAGCTTGGTTGGAGCCTCTGAGTGCTGCTGTAATATAAGTGATCAAATAGTGATGACATTATTGGTGCTTGTGCTTTACTAAATTTGTGAAGGAACCTGGCACTCCTGTGAGCCAGCCACAGTAAAAATAGGGGCTCTTAAAACCTCTCCCTTCAGTTCTGCCAAAATGCCTCTGTCCTGACCCATAACAACCTCAGCGTCCTAGTCCCTTGCTAACCTTCTGTCCCAAAAGACTTGTTGCTATTGCCAGCTCTCATCATTTTATTTCTAATCTTGCACGTACTTCTGGAGTCAAACAGCTCTACAAGAATATCGGCTCTCATTTGTAAAAATGGTGATGGCGGAAAGCCAAAAACAGGGAAGTCCAAAGATCCAACAGCAAAAAGACAAATAGAGACCAAATTTACCTTTATTTCAAATCTTGTGATTTGGTTGGGGTTTTCTTTTCCCTTTTAAGCTGACTCATGACTTTTTTTAGACTGATTCTTGAATGCTCCCGCTTGCCAACAACAAGCTTCTGGTGCTACGTTAGCTAAATTATTGAAGCAAGAGGTAGCCATTGATGGGCCACTGTTATAGGGAAGTGAGTCTTGCTCTTTATCAGTGTCTACTCTACATTTTAATAGACAGCTCTTGGAAAACTTTGTTCCCATTCACAGTTATGCTTTCCCATTAAGTATTGTTTAAAATCCCGATGTCAAACCTAGCAGCGGCTTTCAGGATGCCTCTGTAAAACCAAACTCAGGGGAAGTGTTTTCTTGTTAGCACCACCTGGCTGGGTGCTTCAAGTAGTAAATCATTGTAAAGGGAGTGGAGTAACCATAGGTTGAAAGTTCAGTTCCATGTTTGGAAAAATGCTTGTCTTTACGTAGCGGGCAGATAACTTAGGATGTCCTTTAAAAATACTGGCAGATCTCACGTTTGCATCTTTTACCTTTTTGTTAGAACTTGCGAAAGTCTTGCTGGGAAAAAGCTGGCTACTTCTTTGATCTTCCCGATTTCTTATCGTGGAAAGCAACAGGTGTCACTGCAAGGTATGTTAATGATAGCTGCATGATTTGTTTTTCTTCATCTGTTTTCCTGTGTATGTTTCTGCTTTAATTCATTTTGACTGAACATGTTGTATGTACATCTGTATGTGATTTAGCTTGTTCAAAAACATCTTGAACCTATCTCCTGCTTCCATTGTACATTCCTAAACACAATTGTTCCTAGGAGCACTGTAACTCTCAGATACAGTATGTTGCTACAACTGTCAGTTAATTGGCTTCATACTCCATTTTGGAACGTAAGCAGAATTGCTTTTGCTGTTTTAAAATACGCTGCTTGTCATGCTCGGAAATCTGTTTTTATTGACAGATTGCCGCATTTTTCGACAGAAAAACAAAACAAATAGCTTTTGCCATGTGCATGAGATCCAATGATCCTTATTAAAAGTAACTGGCAGTTGTATCACTTCTGAAAAGCATCTTTGCAAAATTCATCTTTTATTATATGAACCTCATCTAGTAGAGTGTGTCCTGTGTACAGTAGGGTGATCCGTTAGGTCTGTGTCTGTACGACACATTTACCCATGTAAAGTTAGTGAGTGAGTAGGGTGGGGCCAAGCTTAGTTTTGTCTTGTTCCTGTTTTTTTCCCCTCAAGAATAAAGGGCAGGTCCCTCATACTCTGTATTCAAGCTGGGATTTTGTCTCCCTGCTTTCTTGACAATTGGCAGCTATGGTTAGGTATCTTACTTCTGGGAGCAGAACAGGGCACAGTTCATTTAAAAAATGGCGAAGTGTATGGGTTCTGCAAGAGCTTGTTCTCTGTAAAGCAGTAGCTCCCCTGTGCTGGATGGATCAAGATCTCATTATGCTAAGTGCTGTACAGGCACAACTTCTGAGTGCTGACACCTTAAATAGTGCTGTCAGTAGCGCCCGTGTCTGACGAGTCTCAAGAATCTGAATCCTATGGCTCCGAAGACGGATGTCCTGCATGGCAGTGTTTTGTGAAAGAAACCCTGGCTTTCAGTGGTATCCACTAGCTTTCTGGCTCTGGGCTGGGCAGGGGAAGACACTGCTGTTCTTTGCTACTCTTCTTCCCAGTGCCAGTGTGCTAGAGACCCCCGGAGCAAGGTATGAGCCAGTGCTCGCTGCTACAGAGAAAGCTTTGTGAGGCCAGATGGGCTCATGGGCTGCAGACGTTTGGTTTCCTGGGGACAAGCAGCAAGGAACGCCTGTGCCACGCATGCTTTGGTGCATGGCAGGTTACCCCAGGTGAGGTATGGGAGGCTGGGCCAGCAACCTTACCTGGGGGATGGAGGAGCTGCAGCCGCGATGCCTCTGCAGCTGGGAATCTGGCCGGCAGCTGGAGTGTGGCCCTGGCCGGCCAGGCTCTGGTTTTGGGCAGTGCGTACTGCCACCAGGTGCGCTGTCTCACTTTTGTTCCACGCAGGTTTCTTTGACCTTGGGATCGCCTAGGATCAAAGGGAAAAAAACCCCTGGGCTGCAAGGCAGCAGTGCAAGGAATGCCTGCATGTGGGGTTTGTGGCACCACAGACCTGTCTGCAGCACCACATACTGTATGGCTGTGCTTGTCTGGATGCAGCCATGAGAGCTAAAAAGAGGTATGTGCTTTTTAGCTATTATTTGGCTATAAGTCCTTGGATTCAACTAATGTCTCTATTTAGCAGAGACCTGAGGAGGAATGTCTTGCATTCAAAAGCTTGTCTAACTTTTGTGTGGGCCGGGAGCGACCCGAGCCCTTTTCCGTGCTGCACGCGGGCTGTGGCCAGCAGCCCGGGCACGCCGGGGCGGAGAGGGAAGGCCGTCGAGCTGGAATTAGGCACAAACACGTATCGGTAGTTTTAAAGATTGTTTACTTACACCGAGATGGCAGTGGTGCAGGCTGGAAAACTTGCTTGAGCTGCGGTTACAGACAGACAACACAGACGGTCTCGTGGAGGTTGCTAGGCTCCACGGTGCAGAGCTCCGGATGCTCTGGGTGAACGAGCCACCAAAATAGAAATCGTAGATACGTCTTATAAAAGTCGCGCTCGAAGACGGGAAGAGGTGGGCGGTGGATCAGGCCGCCACGCTCCTCTGGATCTCACACAGGGTTTCTATTACCCTGCCGTGTACCCAGAGTCCCCACGAGATGGACGTGGAGTCCTCTTCAGCTTGGGCGGAAACCGCTCAAGCCTCTTATACGGCTAACAGGCCAATCGTTAGCCGCCACATGTGAATAATTTAACACTAGCCAATCGCAGGGAACGAATTTGCATACCGGTGGCGGGAACTCTTTTGCACCGTGCATTCCTCTTGCAACTTGAGCAATGCACTCTGCAAAAGAAGCTGCAGAAAAGGCGGGAAACTTGTCCCTGCACCGAGAGTTTCCTTTGCAACAGGAAACTCTCCCGTGCAATGCTCTGCAACTTGGCAGGGATAATTCTGGTGCCGAAGCACACACACAATCATGCCTTTGGGTCATGACAACTTTATCCCAGCTAATAGGTGGTCCAGTAAAAGATCTCACCCTAGAAATCCCATAATTTTGGGAGCATCATGACTACAATATCATTCGTAGGCTATCCATTTAACAGGACAGAGTCAGTCATTTGGAGCTGTGCTTCAATGATATACATGCTCGCTAACCACCTGAAAAAGTATGCAAGCAGAACAGGAGCTGTTGTTGTGCTAAAATATTTGGGAAGTCAGTACCGTCTACGTGACTTTAGATTAGAATAGCACAACACATTTTTTGAACCATGTTTGTAAACCCAACACAAGTTTAATTTTTTTTTTCAACACAGAATTATAGAGTCATTTTGAGGGCTGGAGATGACTTTGGATGGAATTGGGGTCTATTTGGAAAACTATTTATTTTGCTAGAGAAGAGGAGGCTGAGGTAGGGGATGGTTCAAATTTCAGTACTCTTCAAAGCCCTTTCTCTCTGTCCCTGTCCCCACTCTCTGCCCTCTTCCCCAGTTCAGTGCTGGTAGGTATGCTCTGTGTAAGAGATCCTCCCCTAACCCCTCCTTTTTCTTAATTGATCCTTCTTCTGAGGAACAACCACCCTCCCTGTCTGACACATTCAGACCCAGAAGCTAGCTATTTGTGCTGTAAGTTACTCTTAACCCCACCAGGACACAGCCAAACAATTTTGGAAGTAGGAGATGGAAGTCTCTGGTGTTTCATATGTTGAGCCAGTGGTCATATTGCCAAATGACAGTCACGTTGGGTAGAAGTACAGCAGGAGTTGGTGTAGCTGTCCTCCTTTGGCTATACTTCTCAGAATGAAATATTTCCTGTAAAAATGAAGTTTTGTGTTTGTGTCTTAATGCTTAACTTCCAGGCTTCTGCAACTTGGGAGAGTAGATAGAAATGAACAGCAGTGTCTTCCCCCATACTTAAAAAGGAAAACTTCAGTGTCATGCTGACTAATCCTTAAGTCTTCTGGGAAGCAAGTAATCAGATTAAATTGCAGGGTTATGCTCTCTTTGCTGCTTTCCCACTTGTGACACTCGATGGATCCAAGGGTTTGGTCACAACTTTTCCTGTAGTAGTGAGGATGTTTAATAGAATCCAGGATATCCAGATGACAGAGTCACTTTGGCATGTTATAGGCTCTTCTTTCCTCCTTCAACTTGCTCCTCAAAACTCATATTTTCTGTTGATTCCCACAAAACCCAGTGGCTGTGCAGCTGGTGTCTTATGATCCCTGCTTATTACACTAATCATAAGACTGTAGCTCTACTCTCGGGGTTGCATGGTGCTCCCCGACCTGTTTGTTATACCTGTCTATTGCCTCTTTTTTGGGTACAGAGATTGTTAGTACTTTGAGGCATAGACAGGGCAGTTTTTTGTTAAATATTTGATCAGTTGCTAGCACAATGAGCCCGTTATTCATTACTGGGGCTCAGCAACAGCACAAATCAATATAATGGTGACAAGGTAGACATCCTATAGACAAACTACAGAATTATACAGTAATGGTCCAGGCATTACAGTAATGCTGTTGTAAGCTCATTAGGTGAGATTCGTGACTCCCTCTCTAACTTGTATATGCCAGAAAGAGATGCTGGAAAGGCATAAGGAATCTAAACTCTAGATCCAGCCAGAAGAATTTCCCATTGCAGGAACAGAGGAAGATGTTAGGTTATCATCCAAGTTCCTCTTGTAAAACTCAGTGTAAGGGGCATGCTACTCTTCATAGTTTGTGAAAGGGTTGAAGTGTTGTTGTGGTGGTGGTGGTACAGGACGTGTCCAAGAGGCAAGGTTTTGATAACTTTTTTAATTGGACCGACTGTCAAATTGGGAGAGCTGTTGGACAAGCTTTCAGGCCTCAAGTGCCCTTCTTCAGGTCTGAGAGAAACAACTGCAGGCTGAACTAAATAGCAGAGAAAGGACACCATGCAAATGCATTTCGCAGATAATAACTACTTCTTTCTGGAATGGTTTCCCTCTGCCACCAACTACTTTGCATATTCTATTAGACTACTTTTGTCTTACAAAGACTCCTTTTGGCAGCATTTCACTCTGAGTGAAACCTTCCTCCATCCCTCCATGTAGACTGCTTGAGTATTTCTCTGATACTGAGTTAAAACTAAGATCTTGACATTTTCCAAGTGGTGCCTTGAATCTAGAAAGGTTGAGAGCCACCAGTTTAACACTTCATTGCTTTGCTTTTTAACAGATACTGGGCAAGAAAGCTTTGTGTGTTGGTCCAAGTACAATGTTTCATTCCACATAAAACATTTTTTTTTTAATTTTTCATGAGGAAAAAATAGTTGAACTTTGATTGAGGGTTCCCTTCCCCCTCGGTCTTATGAACAAATTGAAAAGCCATTTAGCTGAGTCCTCCATGTGCATGGTTGAGAGCTTAAATCTGGATGCCTTTGGCCTTTGTGAGGTTCCCAATAGCTTGAACCTCTCTACCTCCTACCTAGGATTTTCTCATAATAAAAAAACCCCCAGAACTGTCCTTGCTTACTCCGTCCGTGCAAGGAGGAAGGTCAATCCCGTTCTGAGATTTGCTCAGCTACCTTTTATCCTTAGCTGTCCTGAGGATGGACACCTTGCATCCAGCAGCTCAGAGAGACTAGTTTGAAACCTGCATTTTCATTTCAGTACACTCCAGCTTCTCACGGAGGCTTATTGTCTGGGGATGTTCCTCAAACAAAATCTACTCATTTGCTCCGATTCTCGGTAGACATCAATTAGTAAAAAAGCCATTGCTCTAAATGGTCCAGACTGCTGACCGCTTTAGATTAAGGCAGACAAGGTTCTTTGGGTAAATGTGATATCTTTGATTAGACCAGCTAAATAGTTGGAAAAATTGTTCTTTGCTAAAACCAACACCCCCGATTGCTTTAGATTAAGGACATTTTATCAGGTTAAGGCATTTTGTCACCTGGTCATATTTTTAAGGCTCATTGCAGGGATATGCTTTCCCCTGGGAAGAGTGGGTAACAGTCTTGACATTCAGATTATCACCTGGCTTTTCTCAAGAAGGCTGTTGGTGAGGCCGGGGGAAGGAGAAAATTGTTTTTCTCACTGTTCTTAGTAATGCTCTTCAGAGGCTCCCGCACTTTTACTCATGGTGAGTATGATTCACCACCCTGCTCCACCCACCATTTATAACCTCTGATCATTTTTCCTTTGTGTACCGTGTTTTGGGTTAAGCTAGTTTTAAAAATACTTTTAAATAACTGGTACAGCTACAGGTGCCTGTATTATGGAGACAGAGCTCTTGCCAGAGGTAAGCCCCGTTTCCATTGGACTCCCCTTCCCTCACAAAGCACTGCATTGCAAGCTAGGAATTCATAGCTAGGAAGTCAGATCTCAATTGATGGACCTAGGAAGTCAGATCACAATCCATCCCCAAAATGTTCTCCTGAAGTTCAAGGGTATTTGCTCCAGGGCTTTCTCCAATTATAAGCAATACACTCAGTTTGAAAGCCAAGTCTCTGTTGGATTTATTTGGCTGAAGATGAACCATAGCCAAAGAAAGATTATAGCTGTGGAGGAAGATTTAGAAACATAGGTAAGACTATCAAAGCACCTCTAAGGGAGGTGGAGAGTACACAACATAGCACTGGGAGCTTGTGGAACAAATATTATGCCATTGCCTTGCACACGCAGGAAGGTAGCGAAGCGAAGAAATAATTCTAAAAGCAAGAACTCAGAAACGGAGGTTCCCGTGCTTTCATAGTTCACTCAGAAATAAAAATTACGTGGCCTTTTTAAAGATGAAGGAAGGATTTCCCATCTTTAGCCTTACCTAGCTAGGTTAGTAATAGGAAAAATATAATATTTTGTCCAGTGGAGATCCAAGAGCTATGTGGTGTTATTCTTCTTACAAGCTTAATTATTTTGCTGCTTCATTTGTCAAGGACTTACCCATTTCATGAACTGATCCAAAGGAGCCTCTCCTGTGGCAGCAATTGCTCTGTCCTACTCTAGCTCCAGGGCTCATGGAGTCTCTGAAAAGGATGATGGCTGCATGGAGCCATAGGATGCATTTTTTCTTCTGCGTGGGTTGTAGGAGACCCTTTTCAGATCGCCCACTATTCACATGAATCTAAATGCTATGATTTAATCGGAAGAAAATGCCTTCTCTGCATTTATATGCTTGCGAAAGTTGTGCAACATGCACAAGCCCAGAGGAAAATGTGAATGAGTCTCAAGAAGCAGTGTTGAGAAACACTCAACTAATATTAGACTTCTTGTATACCAATTTTAGACAGGAATTTCTGTGCCCACACTACATTGAAAGGAGTCAAATACTCATTTTTTGTGAGAGATGCTCATGGCCAGCTCTTCCATCCTGTAAATTGATATGAGTCCTGATATACGCCAACTGCGGATCTGACTCTAAGCAGAGTAAACACGATATACAATTTGGTCCTTTTTTTTATTTGGAATAATGGAAATTCTTAAAA